CTTTGTCTGAGCATCTGCATACGTTAGTTAATTTACGTTGGGTACATTGGGTAGCGACAGCCCAAAAATAGATTTTTATAATTATCGCTTTTGACTAAACAATTGCGCAATTTAACCTCAAAACGATCCGTCAAAATTGCATCATCAACTGCCGGTGATTTCTGTCATGCGAACAAGGCCTACCCATACTATTATTAAGCCCATCATGACGAACACCGTGTTCGGAACACGTCAACATTAACAAAATGTTACGTTGCCACACATTAAATACAATCAAACGGCGCAGAAATAATTAATCAGACACACACACATAACGATTATTTATTATTATACCGGCCTAACTATTCGAGCTGTTCACTCACATCCATTTTTATTTTATTAGAATGGGATTCTTTGCAAATTGCTTTGGTTTTATTTGTATCCATTAATTAGTTTTTATTGGTGCAACCATAGAAATAACACTCAGTGTTATTTCTATGGGTGCAACAAAATTTTATTTAAAAGAAGAATCTGGCAACATTGCCGATGCTTTTGACGTTTATTCAAAAACAATTGGGCACCAAACGGTATTCAATCAGCGTTGGCCGTTCGTTAAAAAAATATCGTTATTTTAAACATGAAACTGTCAATAATCGTGACAAGTCATTAGAGTTTATCGAAAAATAATCATAAATATACATTAATTTGTCCCGACGAAACAACTGTTTTAATTTATTTTATTGAATTTTAGTTGCGAGATTTTGAGTGCAATTTAATGGAATTTATAAATATTCATTTGATTTTCTGTCAAATTTTAATGGTAATCATAATATTTTATAGTTATTTTAGAGCTTTACATAAACTACTGTAAGCCCGTGTCAACACTGTTTTATACAATACAATTTTAATACAGTTTGGGCCAAATTATTTTTATTATTGCTATTAAAAAGGTATCATTTACTTAGCAACGGAGCAACGAATCGACGTGATTTTTTGGATAGAGATACACAGTGCAACCAAGGTTAGTTCGAACTTTCTATTTCTATGATCTTATAAAGTTTTTGAGTTTTAGGCTATTAATTGTTTATTGACATACCTCAAAATTTTGTTTAAAAATTAAATATATTGTCACTTAGTTGATGTTTTTCATTCCTCTAGTTCTAAAGATTTTTACGACTGTCGGATTTTTACTTATTTTAAGATTTTGTTTTATTCGTGTTGTCTTTTATTTTTATAACATTTTATTCAAAATTAGAACTGTTTGTTTCATTAGTAATTTTACTAAAACATTTTTATTTATACCCTTTTGTATAAATATTGTTAAAACTAAGAAACTCTAGGGATTTTTTAACCAAGTTTAGGAATTTTTAAACTGACCATGTTGGCATTACTGCACAAAACCGTGAAATAACTATATTCCTATTGGGTACTATGTAATAAAAAAACAACAAAGTTGCACATTAAAAGTTTACAAAACCTACCCAAATTTTTTTATTTATTTATTTTTATAACTCGGAAAATTTAAAAAATATAATAATAGGTTAATAAAAAAATATTGACGTTGACTTAAAATTATAAAAGCAAAAATAAAAAAATTTTAAATCAAAAATTTAATTTTTTAAACAAAAATTTTTAATAAACCCCTATAGGGCCATAGCTCTGTAGGAATAGACATTATTTTTTAAAAGTCCTAAATTAAAATAATAATAATATTAAGTGAGGTAGGCTCAAGAGGAAAAAAGGCAATAAATATTGACGTATAATAAGTCAAGCAATACATAAGCGACTTAAAATTATAAAAAGGCAATATTTTGAACATTGAACTAAAAAATTTAAATTGTTCAAAACAAAAATAAAAAATTTAAAACGAAAATTTAATTTTTTTAAACAAACTCCCTATAGAGCTATAGCTCTATATATAGGGTTAGACATTGTTTTTGGTAGGCTAAACAGGAAAAAAGGCAATTTTATAACAACATTGGCGCTAAAAAATTTATTTAGGGATGAAAAACCTTTTCACTAAAACTCAGAACCAGAAAGATCAAGTACTTTTCCAAAAGAAACAATTTGCAAGCGAAATTTGACGTATCAATTTACAATAAATTAAACAAAACTCAAAATCTTCACAAGGTTATAAAAATAAACTTCGAACTAACTTTAACAAACCCAGTGAGGGTTTTATTATTAAATAGGTATAATTTGAGTACATTAGATGCAAAACTAATACATACTAATATATATTTTATCCTTTTTATGTACATTACTGCACTGCCTAAAGCATACCTAAGTAAACCAGATGCATGAGTTAATATTTGTAGAATAAAATACATTTAAAAACTTAACGCAGATGCAAAACTGGATGCAAAAATCGGTATTTGCCATTGACCAATCACGTCGCTATACTATAGTATACGCATTACGTGACGATATAACAATCACCTGATTAATTGTTATTTTTTGGTATTTGCACTTTTCACTTGCAAAACTTGATATTTGAACGAGAAAGATACAAAACTATGTTTTTAAATCTTTTGATTTCAGGGTCAAAATTTATTCCCTGGTAAAAAAAAAAAATTTCAAGCATTACCTGGTTACACATACCATTCCTGTGTAAAGGCACATATTTTCCAGTAAAACACAAAGTACGGTAGCTTTTGTATAAAAAAAATTAAAAGTAACGAAGTTTAAAATGACAAAATGTAACGCCGGTCACATGTCCCTGTCGTCTGTTTATTATGTTAAATCTGTTGCATTTTACTGTCCAAAGTTGAAAATAAATATTTAAATAATTTACGATATAGAAACAGTTACGTAATTTTTTAATCAATTTTTCTTATACTCCTCTTTACAATATCAAAGTTTCGGTAGTGCCTTAAAGCTGTGTCCCCCAGATTGTGCGTAACGCCGCGGCGTTACGCGCCGGTAGCACTCCATATTAAGGCTGGGAATTTGTTAGTTTTTGGAATTCGAATACTCGTTTAAAAATTATTTGAAATACTCGAATTATTCGAATATTCGAATTATTCGAATATTCGAGTATTCGAATTATTCGAATATTCGTGTATTCGAATTATTCGAATATTCGAGTATTCGAATTATTCGAATATTCGTGTTCTCGTAAATTCGAATAATTCGAATATTCATGTCTTTATAATCTGTGATTCATGTCCTCGTACATTCGAATAATTCGAATATAGAGTACATTTTTAAATATTCATATAATCGAATTTTTAAATACTCGAATATTAAAATATTTCAATTAATCAACAATCGTAAATTAAAATAAATCGGCAGTAAAGTTCTACTTTACTGCCGATTCCGGATAAAATAATTTTTCGTCAATCTTAAGTCTATTTTTAGTTAATCAAGCACTAACATTAGTTGTTTCAACAGCCATTTTGTTAAAATATTCATCAATGTTAGGATATTGCAGTTGAAGACCGGTAACTTACGTGACATTTGCAACATAAAGCCTGCATTTTAGGAAAAAATTAATAGATTAGGGTTGTCATAATTTAAGTTCCCATTACCTTAAAATGCTACATGCTCATTACACTAAAAAAAAATTAGTTTTCACAAAAATAAGTGGATACAGCATCGAAACAAGTTATATGAGAATTTACCAATTAAACATATAGTAATTACTGATTACTTTTTGCTACTGTCCAAAACGAAGCGACTATAGTATACATATATCGCTTTTTTCGAATTTGATTATTTTTGGAATTTTCAAAATTCAAAAGCCGACTAATTTTTGAAGAGAGCTGTTAATTTTTTTTAATAAAAATGACAAATTAACATATTCGAAAAAAGTTTTTTTGCACCACCCTTATATATACTAATTTAAAGTGTTTTAATATTCGAGTATTCAAATATGCGAGTATTCAAATATTCGAGTATTCGAATATTCGAGTATTCAAATATTCGAGTATTCGAATGTTTGAATATTCGAGTATTCGAATATTCGAATAATTTATAATCGATTTCCACCCCTATTCGAATACTCGAATATTCGAATATTCGAATTATTCGTAATCGATTCCCAGCCTTACTCCATATACGTTCACATTTTTGCCGCCAGAGCCACTAATATCAGTCTTCGTTAAATTTTGTGTTACGAAAACTTTGCTGCTAGTGATTTTGCATTAAATAGGTAAGTTTTCATTATATTTACTTAATTTTTCCTCAAATTATGAAAAAATTAGTTCATGCGTATGTTTTTGTGTCGTAACAACGGTCACATGGCCTATTTTTAATATTCTTCAAATTTCTTATTAATTGCTTAAATATAAAAGTATTTTATTTATTTATTTATTAACATCAATATATGCGTTCATAATAAATATAAATATTTTTTTATTTCGTTATTACGTTTTACAAATAATCTATGATTTGAACGTGTGACCGGCGTTAAAAAAGGCGGTTATGTTGCTTAAAAAAGATGCCGGAAATTCAAAAACCTACATATCCAGTGCGGACATATACAAAATTTGGTAGAAGAAACCTGTACCAACTAAAAAAATTGAGGTTTTTTAAAATACACCGAATTTTATTTTTTAACTTTTATTTTTTGGAATTGGCCCGTAAATAAATTTTGACCCTTCAATTATTTACTAAACTACCTAATTTTAAAGGATTTTTTTTTACTTTTTTAAATAAAAATGATGCAAAAGCACGTCTATACAATGTTTGCATTTTTTTCCAAAAATGATATTATGAGCGGTTTTTCATGTTTTTCTTAAAATCACTTATCCTGCAAATACAGAGTTGTGCATTTAATGTATTATATCTGATTATAATCAGTGAAATCCGGTTTAAAATTGGTCACCCCAAATTTGTCGCACAGTGTTATGGATCGGAAAGTAACAAAGGGTACTTTTTATTCCTGTGCCTGTGGGATAAATTCAAAATATAAAACGCATAACGAAACCCGAATTAGATCCACGTGTAATCTGGGTTGCCTAAATTTCTTGGACCACCGCGTTGTAACGGCTAGTACAAATTATATATTTTGTACTTACCATAATTAATACTGTACTCTGATGCCTATGGCTGCTTCCCAGCGCTCTAAAAACCAGCGCAAACACGAAAAAATACGCAAAAATCGTCCCAAGATTTCTGGTATCCAAGAAAGACTCCACCAAAGGTATGGTGCTCATCGTCCAATCGCAACACAAATCGCACGGAAACAAAAGCAGCCACAAATTAACGCCGATCAAGTAGTTGTAGGTGAGTTGACGCGTGGGGGTTGGTGCCACCGATGCGGGGTTATCGAATCTCGTGAAAACCGGCAACTGACTGCCCATAATTTGCAAGCGCGCCAGTAAAAGGGACATTGTTGTCGCTAGAAGGACTAACAGACGTTTGGTCGCTTTGTTCGACCACGGCAATTGGTACGATGATTTTACGGAGATGGCGGATTTTAGTACGTGTTTGATTTCTGGCAGGCGAATCTAAAACAAAAAAATTTCGTTAATTTTAAGTTACACTGTTATAAAAATCAGATTTGTTAACATGAGTTTGTAGTTTGTTAATTTTATTTTGTAAAATTTTGTAGAAAACCAGGGTTTGTAACCATTTTAACAAAAGAAATATTTTACCGAAAGTTTTGTAGATTGATTCAGGTTTTTTTTAATATCGATTTTATGTTTTAATAATTTTGGAACCCGAAAAACCCTTATTTATTAATTTAAACCAATTAACTGGTAGGAAATTGTTGTCATAACAATAAATTAAAAAGAAATAATAAAAAATAAAACAAAAATTAAAAATGGGTGTAAACATGTCACTAAAAGTACATTTGCTCCATGCACATCTTGACCTGTTCGAAAATCAGCTGTCCACCGATTCAGAAGAGCATCAAACAATAATGGAAATGGAAAATCGTTACAGAGGAAAGAGGTTTGATTCGATGTTGGCAGATTTTTGTTGGTCTATGGCAATGGAAATTTTGGCATAAAATTATAAATAAAATTTGTTATATCTTTTATGTTGATTCATTCTATTTGTTAAAAAGAATATGTTTTTAATAATTAATATAATAATAATAATTACCATAATTATTATTATGGTAGAAGCGAAAGAACTAAGAAATTGCACTACAACATATTAAATCCAGAAAAAGGTTAAATTTTTTAAAAAAATTGCATTTTATTGTTCTCATTATTTTTTTATTTAATTATTTTTTTCTTTATTTGATTGTTATTACTTTATAAAACAATACAAAACCAATAATTATCTTTTATTTATTCTGGATCCCGAAATATCGTAAAATAATAAATAATTAGTATACCTACTAATTATTTATTATTTTACGATATTTCGGGATCCTTTACTTTCAGAACCCCATCATCTTAATTTTTTTCCGAAAATGTTGCACAGGGTAATATAATTATTACCAGAAATCTGTTATTGGGTCTTTCCATCTCAAATAGAGCAACGTTATTTTTCAACGAATTTTTTTTACAGTTTCTCTACCGAAATCGATAAGACCTGTATTTTTTCTTTTTGCTTAAATGTGTTTTATTTACCCGTAGGAAATTTTTGAAAAATTGACATAAACATCGATTTATTTTACGAGCGACATTTTTTATTGAAAATACGATAACTTGGCCAAAAATGTTTAGATCGTTACAATTTGTTTTAAATTGTAGGTAAATGTTTACTACATACCAAAAAAATTAAGAAAATTTACTAAATAAGGTAAAAATTTTGACATTGCCATATTTTTTTATTTTATATTTTTTTCGCTTGAAGTTAATAATAGTTGACTAAATTCGTCGTTTCAGAATTATTATTTTTTTAATGAAAATGCCATTTTCTTGTAAATTCGTGGTTCGTCGCAAAAATTTGTTATTTTATCTAGGGATATGAAACTGGGGCGATCTTTATAAAAATTTAGAGCTTTTTGACATATCTAACATATTTTTGTAACTTCCGGTTTCACCGGAAATGGTCTTAACTTTTTATTTATATTTTTACGAGTGATATGTATTCTTAAAAATGCGATAACTTAGCCAAAAATGTTTCTATCGTGACATTTTTTTTAAATTTTTTAAATTGTAGGTAAATGTTTACTACATACAAGAAAAATATATAAAATATTAAGTGAATTCACACAATTTTTTTTAAATTGTTTTTTCTAAAAAAGGCAAAATTTTGAAATTGCCACTACTTCATTTTTTTTTTACTTTAAATTAATTAATATTTGGTATCAAATTTAAAAAAAGTGTATTTCTTTTATGACCAACGAACCACTCTCCTTTATTAAAAAAAAATAGTTTTGGCATAAAGTATGGTTTTTCAATTTTTGAAAGCTCCTAAAAACCAGCATTGCAAAAAAGAATAAAATCGTATTTTTTTCCAGACTACTTGGCCCAACATGAAGCAGAAATGCCAATTCAAGGCACTCTAAATATAGAAAAAAATGTAATCAAAAAATAATTTGACCGGTCAAAAATTGACAAATGACATATATGTATGTATTCAGAAATTTATTTTGAACCGAAATATGTAAAAATGCATACAGTGTTTCATTATAAAATAAAAAGTTAAGACCATTTCCGGTGAAACCGGAAGTGACAAAAATATGTTAAATATGTCAAAAAGTTCTCAATTACACTTTATAAAGGTCATGACCCTAGATAAAATGCCAAAATTTTGCGATAAACCACGAATTTACCAGAAAATGGTAATAAAAAAATAATAATTCCGAAACGACGAATTTAGCCAACTCAGGGCTTTTGGTAGAAAGTTGTTCCTATTATTAACTACAAACGAAAAAAATATGAAGTAAAAAAATATGGTAATGTCAAAATCTTTTTGCCTTTTTTAGAAAAAAACAATTTAAAAAAAATTCAAAAAGAATTCATTTAATTTTTTATATATTTTTTTGTATGTAGTAAACATTTACCTACAATTAATAAAAATTGTAACGATCTAAACATGTTTGGCCAAGTTATCGCATTTTCAATAAAAAATGTCAAAAAAGTTCCCCATTTCCAACAAATATATTTTTTAGTAAGTCTACAAAAAGATTTGTAAAAATAAGGTCCTTCTTTAAATTTACAAAAGAATTATGGTTGAATTATTGACATAGGATTTTGTTATTAAATCTACAAAATGTTTGTTATAATTACAAACCACTTATTCAATTTACAAATTAACAACTTAACATAAAGTTTTGTGGACCTGGATTAACATAAAATCTGGTTAATATTTTAAAATTAACAAATATTTTTTTACTGTGTAGTTACGTTGGGAAGCGACAGCATTAGTAAGTTTTTGTCAGGTAGATTACAGCCAATAAGAGATCAGTTAGTGGTAGTTTTAGGAAATTATTAAAATATAAATACATTAAACGAATTTTGGCGTTTGATAAATCAATCGCGTTGCACGCTATCGGCTCATTATTTAAATATGATTTGGAGAGAGTGGGACAAAAATACAAATTAGTAATCAAAGTAGGTGGTGGGAGTATTATCAAATTTGATTTTATACCGTTTAAGATTTGGAATATCCAATGCAGACTGAATTTCTAGCGTATGTTAGGGGGATAAATATCTTTTATCAATACCTCGTTATTTCCTTGCGTTTCCTGTTTTTCTATAATAAACGAGTAGGATTTCGAAAACTCTGATTACTTTGGAATATTAAACATATGAGACGACTGGTTTCATATACACAGGTATTATTTTATAAGGCAATTTTTTATTTTTAGAATTTTGCCTTTTTAGATTTTTTTGTTTGCTCTGCGGCTTGCAGAATCTCTATTAGAACAAAAATGCCCAAACAATGTAAACAAACTAAAAAAAATATATATATGTTAATGAATTAATTAAATGATTGGGTTGAATTTTATAGCGGTTTGAAGGGTAATCATTTAACGAGGCATAAATAACGTTAAAACAACGCAAAATGCATAACATTACACGGCCGAATAATATTTTGAATAGTTGCTAGTCTCTATAGTGTGACGGAAACCAATAACAATAAACTTTAATAGTGCATTTTACGTTTGACACTTATTGCAAAGTGGTGGTTTTTATGATTGCGTCGTAAATCATACCTACAAATATATTAACGTTGCTGCTAACTTGTCCTCATTCTTTTCTTAAGTTTCTCTATAGCTATGGCTAAATAAATATCACAACATGTACTTTTTAGAAAAATTCTATAAAACCTATAAAAATACAAAAAACATACTAAAATTCCATATTTTGATACGGTTTACAAATGTATTTTCAATTTATTTTCAAGGAAAATAATGTAGTTTTATATAGTTTGGAATTTCTAAATTATGTTGTAAAAGGCAAAAAGCTTTGTAAAAGAGGTAAAGAAATTACAAGTTTTTCGAAATTGCCTAAAAATCTGGTGTCCAGACAGGGCCGTGAACTGTTTTTGACCGCACCTTTCCTCCATGCCTTGTCTGCGGCGCAGTCTGCGCATATTGTTCTGTGCTCTGCGCCGCATACTGAGTCTGCTTTGCGTGTTATTATCATAGGTTATATTAATAGCAAATTAGAATTAATTATTAGCGTTACAATTATTTCAAATGACTTGCCTTTATTTTAAAATAGAAACATTTTAAAAGATGTTGAAGAACGGTAAATGTCTAAAACCAGACCAAATTTTAAACCTTGCCTGTACATAAAAAGCTCAGTATACATATATTATTTATTAAATTATAAAAAATTGGCAATTGCAATAAAATGATACCCTAAAATTTTTTGTTTGCCCAAAATAGACTTTGGCGTGACACCCACAAATTTTTTTGCCAGCAGCTTTTCCCGTATAAGGGCCCCTACTAGATTTTTGATACGGGGCCCCTCGAAGCTAGCTACGCCACTGGGTTCAGATGATACAAGAAACGATAGTCCAGGTACACTAAGCGAGTAAAGGAAAGCAAGAAAACAGGCAGTAAGTTTTTGAATTTGGTATCGAACGCATCGCTTCTTATAAATTTTTGATAAAACGAAATTTATTGTAAAGTTCTGTTTAAATAATTGTTACAAGTATTTGTGTATCCTCCAAGGTTAGTTCTTAATGTTATTATCTCAAATTACGTATTGAAGTCCACTAAACGTAGAACAATTCAGATTTAAATTAATTGATCATTAGTTATTTTCTATTACTACGTTTAGCAAACTTTACTCGGTATTAACGCCTTTTGTTTTAGCTATTTTAACAAAATGTTCCTGGCTTTTAAGTTTAATGTAAAAATTTCGATTCCCCTATTTTTATTCTTTAAAATTCAATTTAGTTGTACACTGTCTCAGTAACTAAAATGTTTAGACCTTCCCTAACACGATTATGCATTTTTTTGTGGTCATTTTAAAATAAATATCGGTGTGAAACGGGAAGTTTCATTGTTTAAAAGGGATTATTAACTGTTAATTTTAAACTCTGAATGTTCCTTTAACTGTAATGCACGTAGTAGATATTAAAATGTTTC